TTTGTCTTGTTGCAGGTTTATGGATGGAGAAAAAACTGTAGCGATAATTTCCGAAGCAGCCAGCAGCGGTATATCATTACAGAGCGACAGACGAGCGAGGAATCAAATGCGACGTGTGCATATCACTCTCGAATTGCCGTGGAGTGCTGATAGAGCGATACAGCAATTTGGACGAACGCATCGATCGAATCAGGTTAATGCGCCAGAATATATATTTCTTATATCGGATTTGGCCGGAGAAAGGAGATTCGCCTCGATCGTTGCAAAACGTTTAGAAAGTCTGGGTGCTCTAACGCACGGTGATCGTCGCGCTACAGAGACTCGAGATCTCTCGCAGTTTAATATCGACAACAAATATGGTCGTGCAGCACTGGAAGCTACAATGAAAACTATAATGGGGTTTGTATCAAAGCATACCAAAAAATCATTCGCAAATTATGTAAAATTTAGATATTTATAGAATTGACAAATTATTATTTTAGGTACGAGGCGCCATTGGTGCCACCACCTCAAGATTATCACGGGGACTTTTTCAAAGATGTAGCTGACGCTCTAGTGGGCGTCGGTTTAATTTGCAATAGCGAGAGCACACCAGGTGTGCTTACGCTTGACAAGGACTACAACAACATGTCAAAGTTCCTAAATCGTATTCTTGGCATGCCAGTCGATCTGCAAAATCGTCTGTTCAAATATTTCACCGATACACTCAACGCTATCATTACGCAAGCTAAAAAGACAGGCCGTTTCGACATGGGTATCCTCGACCTCGGAACATCGGGCGAAAACGTCCATAGAGTGCGATTGTATCGATTCTTGCGAAAACATGCGACTGGCAAGGCGCCAACGGAGTTGCACGTGGTTCATGTTGAACGTGGCATGAGTTGGTCCGAAGCCACGAACAAATGTTCGGAATTAACTGGGACGAAAGAGGGTTTCTATCTGAGCCATCAAATTCGCAATGGCAAACATACAGCCATCCTCTCGATCGCAGTGGACAGTGGCAAGAAGAAATCCGAAAGCAAGAAAGATCAGTTTTATATGGTGTATAGGTATAGTTATTTAAAGCTCCGCTACATTTACGCTTAGTTTAAACTATTATAAACAACAGAATTAATTCGCATTATATAGTATAATTGTAGTATAAATATAGTATATTTTTTAACATTGTTGGAAATGATGTAATCATATATTCATTCATTGTAGGCCCAACACAGGTTTACAGCTACGTCAGGAGACTCTAGGTGAATTAGAAAAAAAATATAAGAAAGTGAGCAACGACGAGGCAGAACCACACTGGACGCAACAGTACGAGGCTTCCGTGAATACGTGTTCACACGCGTACTGGAGCGGGAATTGTAAAAATGCCACTCTCGGACTCATGGATTGTGAAGTAGGACTAAGAAGACGTTCCTATAATGTATTAGCCGGTTCAGTTCTGAGCGTTTGGAGTCGTGTGGAGAATGTGCTTGCCGCACGATCCGGACATAATTCTAAGATGCAAGTTGTAAGGTTGCGAACGGGTAAGTCAATAATTATAATTGCTAATTATTGTTCTAGTAAAGTCTAAAAAACGACTATTTCTCATTTCGTTTTTGTAATAGATGAGGGATTGAAGATCGTCGGGACGCTTATTCCAAAGTCTTGTATGGAAGCATTGCGTCAAGCGCTTTCCTCCGATGCGGAAAACACGGAGGAATTGACGTTTTAAATGTTGTATCAAGGGTAAGATGTTGAATAAATAAAATGTATTTATATATCGTGCACAAGATAATTCGTATATAATTATCGATCTCAATTTTTTCGAATTAATATTTAATTAATTATTTTAGAGGTATGAATAGGACCAAGCAAGCTTATCGGCATGATTCTAATATGCCGTGATTCTAGAAGAACCCCCTTTTTCTTAAATCTTTCATCGGGACACAACAAGAGGAATGCAAATTGTGTGAACATGCAACCGTTTTCAGGCGTATTACTGGAATCTTTGATACGTCGAAAAATAGATTCCAAAGTGAATCTATTAATTGATAAGAGTCACCGCTTTGCTATCTGATGTTGATGAATACGAGTAAACGCTTCCATAATTAACCGACAAAATCGAGATTACAACTTGCTGCTTAGTTATTTGTCATGCAATCGTAAAAATTGTAGCATTCACCCGCCGTATACCAATGTAGATTTTTAAGTAGTTAGACCTTTCTTTTATTATCTTCTAGAGATATACATATGCGTCCTCCCCTTTCTCGCTCCCTGTTACATTAGGAAGAGGAAGTTTATTTTTTACATCGTCGCCGTTACTTATATTTTCACCAAGAGATTTTTAGTAGACGTAGCGTGTGGCGTACAGTAGAGGGAATACAGATTCCATTCATTTTGGCTGTGTCCTAAAAGAAACGAGAGAAGTGTAATTGGACAACGCATAGAGAATGCGTTTTTTCATTTAGAAAATGTGAATTTAACGGGAATTTAATCATATGATTCAAGACGCGTTCATTCAGTTTATTTAATTATTTAGCCTATAGCAAATAACGTTCGATGACTATCGATTGTTTTCACTGGAACATAGTGCCAGTAAATTTGGTTAAAAGCGATAATTATCAGTAGAACGAATTAATTAAAAATAAGATTGGTTGACAAGATGATTTAGAATATTGTGATTTTCTTTGGAAAGCACAAAATATGTATACGCGATAGCGTATACATAGCTTTTTTGTTTTAGCGTTTTTATTTCGATTGTTTCGATTGTTAAATCAGCAATCAATTGAAAAAAAGCAATTTTACACGTGCTACTGCTACAGTTGCTATAGCTACCCGTATCACTATAAAAATTACTGCTAATACTATACTAATGCTGTACACACACATACACATACATAAAATTACAAAACTACCATTAATAACATCCCAGATGTAGGGAGACGAGGTAAATATGACATATACATGTTGCAAATATACTTGTTTTTCCCTATTTCATAGAATTTGAAAAATGTGACTCACTATACATGTGCCAAGTTACACGCGTTTTTTTATTTTTTTCCTTTCTTTTTTTATTTATTGTGACAAAACAAATCAATTAAAAAGAAGTTAATTTTTATTATGTTAACTTTATTCTATGTATCACTTTGTGGAAGTAAAGTTACAGTCCCAATAAATGATGAACTATATTTTAAATTTTATATAAATTATCATTAAAGTCTACATACTATCAAAGATGCAAAAATCAAGTTTATAGTATTCTTTTACATAAAATTTTATTTTTCTAAGATAGATATATCAGTATATTTTTCTTTGAATTTTTAAATTTATATATTTTTTGTGAAATTTTACTGAAAGTGTAACAAAATTGAAGTAAACAAAAAATATATGATGCTGTATTTCGATCAATAGTGTAGCTTTAACAAGATACTATTCGAAATTGTTCAAGGCGATGCCTCGTCTCTCGACGATCTCCACCTATTAATTAGCCTTAAAACAATGGAAAAAAGAGTTAGATCGAAATAACGTATACAGCCGATATATTTATATTCAGATGCATATACTAGTAACCAGTGCGGCCTGTATGTACACTGAATGTATGTAGATGATGTCTGTTTGTACGTCTGAACAAGTTTTGAACGAGTGTGAAGTTTCGAGGAAAAATTACTAATGATATAGGCCTCGCGATATCCATCTTCTCTTATTATGATAGATGAGATGCAGACTTTTTGTAGAGCGTAGAATACAGTCGGAACAGTTATTAGAATCGATTCGTGATTAGAATTCTTATTTTAGTGATTTAATTTTTAAGAATGTGCGCGCATAATGCGTCTGATAATAGAGATATTCATCGTTCACCTGTTTCCACGGTTTCTCGCGTCGGGAGGAATTGTTTCATCGTAATATACAGCAATAGAGACTGCAAATCTACAATATACAATCTACAAATAACTATATATTGCATTTATAAGGAAGATAAAAAATGGGCAATAATACACACCACCACACACATTTGATCGTATAATATAATATATAAATATTCTCGATCTATGATGATTTTTTGCGATTAAAAAAATGCAATATTTAACGAGATTTATCATAGATTTATCATAGATTTAATTCCTTTAGTTGCTATCAAGTATTTATAACACGTGATATTAATTATTATTACATTACTTTAACAAAATATGGAATTATTTTAATTATTTTAACAAAATATGGAAAACGTAAAATTAAATATATGATTCGAAGATACTTTTTTGGTTTTGTTTACATCATTCAATTCAAAACTCGATTCAAAGATGCAATTATCAATATAGATGATAATAAATTTGGTAACTCGATGATGATTATATAAAGTTAAATGCGGAATGTACATATTGAAGATTGTAAAACGAAACTTTAGGACGTAGGAGATGCTGTTTGATATTTGATATTTTTTACAATTATTATCTCGCATGAGTTCCTGTCTTTGCAGACGCGACTTATAAATGTGATATCTAGTATACGTGGAAACAGGCGTCGCGCTTTCTAGTGAAAGAATTATTCCTTTTGTAATGTGCTGTTTTTTTTCACGGATGACGAGTCGAACGAGTGTGCTGTGTATATATGCATATGTATAAATGTCTCTGTGTACGTAAAATCAATAATTCTTACTCGAAATACCCATCTTTCGCGTCTGAAAATTTTTTTGTTAAGGCGTTACTATTCTATGTTAAATCGATCAAGATACGCAATTTCAATTTTCAAAAACACTTGATAATTTTGATTTTCTTTTTGTTATTTAATGATGTATTACACAATGCAAAGTAAAAGAAAATATGGGTTTATATATGAAATACAATAATTTTACTGCAAATTGTGCAAATCGCTCTATTAAAGGATGTCCTAGTTTTTCATGGAGGAAGAAGGTTAATCATCAAAAAAAAAGATGTAAATAAACCATGATTTAATTGTGCGTTTAAAAAAAAATTGATAAAATCAGCTAGATCTAAATAATTAAAAAGTGCAATTTAGAACAAAGATTACATATTTTAACATTTATTAGCTTAATGTGTCAAACATAGATTGGAGTTTTACTTATATCGCATATTCCACTTTTGCACTTCAGTATAAAAAAACTGTACACATAAACGTTCTTTGCACTCTAGTCGAATATACTTTTTCGCGATATATAATCGCACTTATATAATTTCACATACCCTATATACTAAGATTTCCCTATATTCATTAAATTCAATAATACCTCTTAAAGTATATGTATATTCCCATTGAAATGATTGTTATGTGTATGTATATTTCACTGAAATAATCGTTACCTGCAGATAATGGAAGGTTTTTTTTGGTATTGATATGAATCTTGTTTAATGAAAGGCATACAAAAGCATCAAGAATGTGCAAACTCCAATGACGAGGCCGAGAATAACAGAATCTCTTCTCTTACGTAAATTTATCCTTTGCAGTAAACTGTTCACCGCAGGAAATCGATTGGAGATATCATTGAATTTGGTTCGTATACGTTTGAATACGTGTCTCTGAGACATTAAATGATCTCGTGTTTCCATGGCTATGCTTATTTGATCGTTTATTAATCGATCGGAGCTAAAAATAAAGTAATAATATATGTGCAGATATACCAAAAAATGTTTATAATGACATATTAATGAAATATACATCTTATTTAGCATTGTTGCAAGATTGACTTACTTATGAATATGCTGGTTTTCTTTGAGGTACATTTCGCGTCGATTTAGTCCACTCGCACTTTTATAATTGCTATGGAATAGATATAAATGTGATTTTATGTAATTTTTATTGGTACAAAATTACTTGTTATATAATGTATAACATTGGGAATAATGACAAACAATTTGTACTTACTCTATTTCTTTACGAACGCTGCCTAGGAGATCCTCGCGATCTTTTCTAGCCATAAAATTATTTCTAATCTTGTTAAATTCCAGTTTATAATCTTTCAATATCTCCTTGTGACGTTGCATCGTATGCAACATAGCTGCTCCATTTGGCTGTAATTCGCTCATCCTTTCGTTTATGAAAAGTAACTATATTAATTGTACTTGATTAATAAAAATATGTTTATACTGTTTAAAGATACGTGAAAGGAAGGAACGAAAAAAAAAACCTACTTTGGAAAGCAGTGTCTCTATCTCCGATGCCATGTTTTCAAATACCTGTTCCTCATCCAGAAGAGGAATCTCATCTGCATTAACATGTCTAGCACTTGTATTTATACCCAGCTTACTGAATGCTACTAATTTTGCATCAATTTCATTTTCTAAATGTCTCGCCTGCTTCCTGAGATCTACAACATTTGTCATTAGTTCTACGTACTAATCCTTTGTAATTTTTGTGCCAGATATGAAAAGCATTTTTGCATTTCTAATCTGCTCTTTTTTACATGTGTTTATTTGTATTCAATATATTTAAAATTTAAAATAAGTTGTACACTATCGCAAATTTTATCCAATATATATATAAAAAAAGAAACAAAAACATTGTGTATTATTATTGCACAAAAAATGCAATGAGAAAGATATGTGAGATTACAAACGTATCAAAAATAATTTAAAAACATTGGCGATAGCTCTGAGAAGATAACATTAAGTATCTTAAAGATATACATCGTAAATTAAAAGTACATCTTTTGGAAAAATTTACGCGCAATACATTACAATGTAAACAAAAACTAATGTCACGCATACAAGAGTTTCGCTACATCTACCTTCCCAGTCGATTACGTCCTGCGAGTTGGCCATTTATTGCGAATCGCAAATGCACGCATCCAATGCATAAAATGTCACATAACACGTTTCCTTCCGTATGTGTGTTCTTTATCCCGGAATAATTCGACAAAACAGAAAATGCAATGTAACGATCAGCAGATGACAAGTAATGACAAGTATAGCGATTCGACAGATTTCTCTTCCGGAAAAAAAAAAATACGACTTTCAGCGCCGTCTGAATTTATTCGCGTAAGTCGTAAACTAAACGTATGCCACGTGACAAGTAGTGGTGTGTGCCAAATTAAAAATCGCGTGTCTCCTTACATAAATCTATACATATATTTATAATAGCTGTCAGTATACAGACCATATTTATTTTTAATATATTTTTTCAAATGATAATTGTTATTTTTCAATTAGCCAAATTTTTCTGATTAGCCAAAACTTGTGTCTACGCACATTTGTTTATGTGCATATTTTTGACAGTAGCCAGTTTAGACGTTTAGTAGCGCCATTATCTCCACTTTTAGAAATTAAAAACACATATCCATATTCACTTTTCGATAACTCTGTCGGTTAATTCGATTCTATTGTACATCCATTTTTTGCTACTGCTGGTAAAGTCATAATTTGATGCGTTTTATTGTTCCACGAAAAACGCCGGTATAGCCTCTCTCAGGCTTCTCTCTGGACGGTACTTCTCGAAGATGGTGTGGTTTTTCATGATTTGTGTACGATTTGTCTCACGAGAACCTTTATCGCGTTGTTTTGTACTGTTTGTATACAACATTGTTTAAGAAACAAGTTGGGGAGTATTGATTCTTCGCGTATTCGTAAATATAGTCAGCAAATCTGGATGAAACCAGGGAGAAGATGATCGCCGCCTCAGAACCGGTGGTAAAGTGGATTGTTATAAATTTTACATATATTTAATCATTGTATATATTTAATCGTACAATTGAAACAATTAAGCAAATGCACTTTTTTAACAATATAAATATAAACAAAAGCATTTGTTTTAAAACACTTTCGCAGGATAATGTAAAGACATATGATTGCTAAATTTTTCTCTTTTTCTCACTAAAAACTCTCTCTAATCTCTCTAATAATATATCACTGTAGGAATATTCTATATACAAGTGATTTATTATTTGTTCCCTTTGTTTTATTTTAGACAGATCTCTATATATTGTTTTTCTGTCATAATTTTCAAGCTTTGGTTAGGTCTACTGCACATGACTTTTGTTTACATCAGCTTGTATCAGAACACATTATTTTATTTAGATTAATAATGATCCAAATACAGATTAAAACATTAAATACCAAATTATGTACTGATTTGTATTGAAATTTCTCTTCTCATTTTGCTTGTATTTCCAAGATTTACTGAGACAAATATGTGTAAACAATAATTTGTAATTATGTCAATCTTTAAGTTCTAATAAAATAATAATTATATACATGCATATACTTTATTTATTTATTTTTTTTTAGGAATATACGCCAGGTGGCCGACAGATAATCTTGAAGCATCCTGGATCATTAATTAGTCAACAGTTATCTAATAATCGAACAACTTGTGGAGAAAATATTTTACTAAAAAAGTTCAGTGAAGTAAATATATCGGAAAAGTCTCCTGTAAGATTTTGGAGGACAGTAAAGAAATGAGAATGGTGTTATAAGGAGATAAAAAGAATAGATTACAATTAACAATGTTTTTTTATATTGCTAACTTAAAAAAAAATTATATCTCCTAATAACTGCCATCTCCCATAATTTTATTTTTTTCATTTATCTTGAAGTAATACTGAATGAAAAAATTATATTTAGAAAGAAACATGGCTGGTACGCAGTAATAAAACATGCGGAGAAGAAGAATTATATTATTCTGGTAAAGTTGCTGTTCATTGTAAAGGCAATCAAAATACCCGAGTACTCGAAGCAACTTATACATGTGAAACAGATATTAAGCATGCACTTTGGTGTACATTTCATACAAGCATTCCAGATCATTTAACTAAAGGCAAAGAATATAAAGCTGAAGATTCTATTCACAAATCTTTAGAATGTATCTGCCTGCTTGATTCGTATACTCTTAAGGTTTTTACAGAATGTGGCGAAGATTATGTTTCTACTTTACAATTTCAGGTAAAGACAGAAAATGGGAATAATTTGATGATATTCTTGATTCATATTGAGGAAAAATTTATTATATCAAAGAAATTATTTATATATATTTTCTGAAAATAGCTGCTTGTAAAATTATTAATACAATTATTAAATGAAATATAAATATTAATTTATCACCATTGTAAATATATTAATTGATTTAGGTTTCTGCAGTATGGCCGACAAAATATGGAATTATACTTGAAAAATGTCAAGTGCCAATTATAGATTCAAGGTATATAAATACATAATTTATGATATTTGAATATATATATGTATATAATAATTATTTAAATATACATGGTGTCCGGAGAATCGCCTGCAATACTTCAAGAAATGATTCGGGACTCAAAAAGAAAGAAAAAAGCTATATAAACATTTAAAATTTAAATTTGAAAACTTTTTAATTTAAATTTTTAAATTCAAATTTTTAAATTTAAATTTTCAAATTTAAATTTCAAATTTAAATTCAAATTTTCAAATTTAAATTTTAAATTCAAATTTTTAAATTTAAATTTTCAAATTTAAATTTCAAATTTAAATTCAAATTTAAATTTTAAATTCAAATTTTTAAATTTAAATTTTTGAATTCAAATTTTAAATTCAAATTTTAAATTCAAATTTTTAAATTCAAATTTTTAAATTCAAATTTTTAAATTCAAATTTTAAATTCAAATTTTCAAATTTAAATTTAAATTTAAATTTTTAAATTCAAATTTTTGAATTCAAATTTTAAATTCAAATTTTTAAATTCAAATTTTTAAATTTAAATTTTCAAATTTAAATTTTTAATTCAAATTTTTAAATTCAAGTTTTTAAATTTATATTTGAAAGTTGAAATTTAAAATTTAAATTCAAATTTTTTAATTTAAATTTAAATTTGAATATAGCTTTTTTCCTTCTTTTTCGATCCCGAATCACTTCTCGAAGTACTGCGGGCGATTTTCCAGACACGCTGTGTATATAAATATATAATATGTAAAATATATATTATATATAAATATATAATACATGTATATATATATATATATATATATATATATATATATAATATATATATATGTATTTAAGTATATATAAATATATAATTTAGTGATATTTGAATAATAACTTTATAAATATATTCATTTTATTCTTACATGTTTATATTTTATTTATAATCATAATATTGATGTCTAATTTCAATGTAGCTTGTATTTTCAGATATATATCTTTTGAAAACAGCAGATTACCAAATCAAAATGATAATTTACCTGTTGCCTTTTCATTAATGCATCCTTTAGATGAGATTTGTCCTCTGCTTATTAAACATGGTAAATATTTTCTTAAAATTTAAATATTGAATTAATAAATCATGCAAAATATCATATATTTATATCACATATATTATTTACATGATAATAAATTAAGGCTAGATTAATTTTTAATACATTATATATAAAATTAAATATTTTAGGATCTTTGTCGTACATGAATGAATCAAGTCAACAAATTATATTCACTAGTTCAGAACCATCCTTTGCAGTCATATATGATACAAAGTCCGGCTTGCATTCAGTTTACAAGATTCGCAAAGCTTTAGCAGAAGAATGCCAAATAGTTTGTGGAATTAACGATACGAGTTTACTAAATCATTCAGTTAACATGTCATCATTAAATGTTGGCAGCAATTTATCCATCAATAAAAGTTGCACCAACAAGGGACATCAAAGTCCTTTTCTTCTTGGTAAAAATATATTCATATATAATTGCTAATACGCGTGTGCGCACACACTCACACACATATATGTGTATAATTTTCTGGATTTAATTTTATCATAATATATATAAATATTTTATTGTGCATAATAATTTTTTTTACAATTCGTCGATGTAATGCGCTTTTATACTATTAAATATAAAATTGCTACAGTTATCACAAATATATTATGGTAAAGTTAAATACAAATAAGAGATTGTTTAAAGAAAATTAATAAAATCTATATGTGTGAATAAATGTATTGCAGGAATTCCAAATTTACAAATGAGTAACAATACTGGTATAGGTCTGGGACTATCTAATACTCCATTCGGATCGCGTACTGGCTCTTATAGTACCGCTTCAGGTGGACCATCTCCTCAGCAGCAGCAGCACTCACGCTCGCAAAGCTCGATGGCTACCATTTCTCGTTGTCAATCGCCCACGCATTCAGCAGCTTTATCTCCTTTGCTTGGAGTACCAACAAATTCAAATATCTATAACAGATTACATCAGACAGTTATGATAACTACCTCGAGTCAAATACATAGTCCAATTACTAGTTACAACAATGTTCAATTGAAAGGTGCTGCAATTGCAAGCAAACCTTTATATCCTGAGGTTTGTCTTGAACATGTATGGACAGAAAACGTAGGTATATCAAAGTAAGTAACGAAAGTTTGTATTATTGAGAAACTTGAATTAATAGTTTAAGTTTTATTTTTTTATTATATGCAGTAGAATAATAATTTGAAAAAAAAGATTTGAATCTATAGATTTACATTTACTTAAATAATTTTCCATGTAGAGTTATAAGCTTTGTGACTATATATTTTTTTATTCTTTCTCATTTATTTTTAAAAGCAAGATACATTTTTATATTTTCAAATGTCAAAGGATAAACATACATTTTTTAATATTCTACATGGTATGATACTCGTCATTATTTTTCTAGAGATATTGTTTATGGTCGTGCATCAAAGGTTTTCTTAACATCAGATCTTGTTGGACAGACTTATTTGGGCTATTTGGTTCCAAATCGTTTGCAACTTTTTCTAGTCAGATTAGAAAAGACTAATAAACAACAACAAATCATTTTCGGAATGATAACAAACATTGCGGCCAAGGATGCTGTTAATTTATCAGTTAGTACATATTAGATTCTTTTTATATTAATATAATTTGATACTTATATAAGTTGCATAAGAAATCCTATTTTTTGCAGAATTTGCACATGATAGCAATTGTAGATTTATCAAATGGTATAGCATTATATACAGGAGTTACATGTGTGGGCAAATTACACATGTCTGGTATACTGTCCAATCTTACAGGCAGTAATTACTTTTTATCAAATAGTAATTCTAAGATTGCATCTCCATTTCCGAGACGAAGTTCCTTGATTTGTCAAAATTGTGCACCTTCACATGAAGTTAAATTTGAAGAGAGTATGCATTTACTAAGCCCTGTAGGTGGTAATTGCGCCCGTCCACCGATTCTTTTAGAAAATTCATTACTGGATACAAATTTTCTTGCATTGAAAGATGCTGTAGGCAATGAGATTACCGTGGAATGCGGAAAGAAACAATACTTTCGTATAACATTACCCGTATCTAGTACATCTCCTTTAGGTAAGTAAGTACACGTTCTCGCGCAAAATATTATTGAATATATAAGAATATGAGCAAATTAATACATTTTATAAAGTTTACAAAATACGATTATAAATATATCTTTTATAGTTACTAAATGTTTACATACATTGCGAAGTGTACTTCAAAGAGACTTAGCAATGCAATTATTGGTTAAATGGTACGGCGCTAGAAACGCTCCTGGTCCGCAAGATTTTTCACCGGCGCAAGAATGGGATCTCTTCCTTGTGGTTCTGTTTACATTATTGGGATACGATGTGGAGAAACTACACTTAATACGAAATAATGAGAAAGATCAATTTACAGAATATAATAGTAATAGTCCTACAGTGCTTCCTAAAAAACAGAAAACCAACAATTGTGGATCTGTAGATGATTGGCTGTACATATTGGAATCAAACGAATTTAAAAATTCTCAATTTTTTATCTCGAATATACTGAATAGTCAAAAGATATCCAGCTTTCTTTGCACAATTCCCAAAAATGCTGCAGAATCAAATAACATCGGTAAAATAAATGTACAAGCCGCTTTATATCCACATCTTCCGCTTGTTTTATTTTCTCTTCATCTCTTATATGAGGAATTGAAATTAAACAGTGTTATATTGGAAAGTTTACCATTGCTCGGGCAATTATTGTATCAATTGAGCATAGATTTAAAATTTGAGATGTACGCTCACCATTATTTTCTTGATTCTCCATCGTTATCTTATTTAAAAAGCGTAAAGTCTCAGATTAGTGACTCGGATCTACAGAAAATAACAATTCCAAATTATATTCCTCGAAAACCGCCGAACATATTTGAAACATTGAACAGTATGCTAAATGGAATAGAGACAAATGCATTCCCATATCTAAGTCATGTTAATCGAAGAACGAGAAATGTAATATATTTAACAGTACTTGTGGCGAATGAAAACCGCGTTGATGTAATAGAAATGGAGAAGTATATTAAATTAATTATACCTGCTGGAAGTCGCATCGATCTTCAAGAAAATGGAGGCAAATCTGATAAAGAGATATGGAAAAAAATGGAGAAGCCTGCAACAGATAGAATAATATTAATGTATCATGAAATGGGTAAGATCACTGTCTTTACAATAGATACTTGGAAATTGTAGGAAATGTTATTTTCTTCTTTCTATCTCCAAAAATATAAAATAGACTTGTAATTAATTTTAGGTATGACTAAAGAAGATCTCGAAATATTACCACCTGCGATATCTCTAATGATAAAAGATGTTATGCATAGATGTAGAGAATGTCCACCATCAAATTGGCCTATGCATGCATATGAACTCGTGGATCGTCAAGATTTAGCCGCATTGGATAAGCATTTAAAATCATCGTCAAGATTACAATATATTGACGGCGAAACAAAGGATTATGGAATAAAGGATGAACATGATGATGGCATGGAATTTGATGATATGGTATATATATATGCATGCTTTCTCACGTTATATTTCTTCTTCTATACATGTTTTACAAAATGTTATCATATAAATTTTTTTGTGATATCTAATTTTGATCATATGTCATTTTTTCTTTTTATACAGAATGCTTCACATATATAGCTAACATTTTTATAGTTTGTTCTATATATTAAACTTACAATTCTTATCTTGTATTCTATTTGTTTTTGTAGATATTAAAGTTGAGATTTAGTAAGGATCATAGAGTCGCTGAAGTGCGAAGATTGCTCAATTCCTCAAAACCAGTAAAAATCGCAATAGTTCAAAGATCAAATGTAAGTGATCATGAATTTATAGAAGAACAAGAGAGGCATCTGCATACATTATGCACAAGAACAATGGCATTGCCTGTAGCTAGAGGCATGTTTACATTGAGAACTTCCACACCAATGATAACAGAACAATTACCTATTCCACGATTATGCTTGACAGGTATGATTATATTATTTTATGTAGAACTTCAAGTTTATATTTTTTATGAATATTAAGTTTTTATGAATTATAAGTTTCCTCTTTCCATGCTCTTTCCACTCTATTCTTATCTATTTTCGTTTTTTACAGCATAAATATACATTTATTTCATAGATAAAAAACTAAATTAAAACGAATAAATGTGTTGAAAGTTATTATGCGAAAAACACGCTTTTGCAGTTATGAAAAAATAATGTATTTAACTAATTATTATTGAAAAACTAACTTGCTTTTTATTCTCATTAGGCAAGGCACCTCCCCGTGGAAATACCGTCGAGTTAACTCACATAGATGTTGCACCAAATATGAATCTGTGGCCATTATTTCATAACGGCGTAGCTGCAGGCCTGTGTATTCATCCAGATGCCGCAAACATTGATTCGACATGGATAGTGTACAATAAACAGCAACAGGGTGAATACGGGGTAGAACACTCAGGATTTTTAATGGCTCTCGGTTTAAACGGACATCTTAAAAATTTAGCTCCTTTAAGTACATATGAATATTTAGCTGATTGCCATGAAGCTACCAGTGTTGGACTCTTGCTTGGCTTGTCAGCAACACATCGCGGTACAATGAACGTATCTATGACTAAGCTATTATCGTTACACGTAGAAACGCTTTTGCCACCGACGAGTATCGAATTAAATGTACAACAGAATGTTCAAATAGCGGCATTAATGGGTGTTGGTCTCGTGTACCAAGGAACTGCTCATAGACATATTTCACATGCTTTATTATCTGAAATTGGTAATTATAATATATATCAAAATGAATTTTAAATCAAATAGAAGATAAAAGTTTGTTGAATTGTTTTTTCTCTTTGTTAGATATATACTTTTCAATATGCAAAATATGTATTAACATATCTTAATATAAAAATTTGTCTTTATAGGTAGACCTCCAGGGCCTGAAATGAAAAATTGTGTGGATCGTGAATCATATTCCTTGACAGCAGGATTAGCATTGGGTTTAGTTATACTTGGTTCTGGTGGTGGAGCGGATGTACCTGCAAGTATACCCGATACTTTACATTATTACATGGTTGGTGGATACACAAGACCTTTTTCTGGAGCACAAAAAGATAAATACAAGTCCCCCAGGTATAATCATTGTTCTTTAATTCCTTTAAGAAGTGAATATATAAGTTCGCAAGAAATAAGAATCCACTAAGTTATATATACAATATTTCACACAATTCAAAACAAAAATAATACTTTGAAAAAAAATAAAGATACCTTTTCGATAATTTTCGATATCTCGGAAAATTTAAAATTAAAACAAATAATTTATTTTCTGCAAAGAACAAACTTTTGAAATAAAGTAGACAAATTTATTCTTACGAACATTTATTATATTATGATGTTCAAATTTTTAAGAATTCATAAATTAAACTTTTTCATTTTTTTGTAGTTATCAAATACGAGAAGGAGATTCGATAAATATCGATGTAACAAGCCCGGGAGCAACAATAGCTTTAGGATTAATGTATTTTAATACTGGAAATCGTGCAGTAGCCGAGTGGATGCAACCTCCCGATACGCAGTATTTATTAGAATTCGTAAGGCCAGATTTTCTGCTGTTACGAGTGCTCGCAAAGTCGCTAATTTTATGGGATGATATCGAACCAACCAAATCGTGGGTTTCTAGTCACGTACCTAATATCGTTTACAAATACAGATTGCAAAAGCCTACGCCGGAAATTACACAGAATGTGGATTTGGAAACTATCAAGTGAGTGATCATATCTTGTATTTTTTAAAGCATTTGTAAGTTGTTTATATCTTTATTATCTGATTTTGTTATTAATAATATACAATTTATAGTCAGGCTTACTGCAACATTATAGCTGGTGCTTGCATGGCATTGGGATTAAGATACGCAGGCACTGCTAATAAAAATGCTTTCAAGACTTTATACAATTATGCTCAAATGTTTACGGCATTGTCACATAAAACTATAGCCGAATTAGCTGGCAAATCAACTGTTGAAACATGTCTGAACGTTGTTTTGCTTTCAACTGCAGTGATAATGGCGGGTACCGGTGATTTGGATGTAAGTCTTGATATTCATAACAGTTATAACGGAAAATTTATTGACTATTTAATATATGTTGTATAAAATATATATACAGATTATAAGAATATGCAGACACATACGCACTCGCATAGGACCTGCCAGCGGCGTTGTCACGTACGGTTCTCATTTGGCAACGCATATGGCCCTCGGTCTTCTTTTCTTAGGCGGTGGGAGATACACTCTTTCTAATAGTCCAAATGCAGTCGCAGCTCTTATAATTTCGCTTTTTCCAAAATTTCCAACTCACAGCAACGACAACAGGTATTTGTATTATGTATTTTATCCACGCTATTGCATAATTCTTTACACTTCAATAAAAATGAACAAATTATAATTTATATTTTTTTTCTTAGATTATAAAAACTTACTATAGGAAATTTCATTTAAACAAGATTTATTATTTCGCTATTACATTTTTATTTTGACAGATATCATTTACAAGCATTGCGTCACTTGTATGTATTAGCAGCTGAACCACGTATTATTTTACCAAGAGACATAGATACTGGTCAGTATTGCTATGCCACAATACATTTAACATTCGAGACTGATAGGGAAGCTGAAGGACAAGAGATTAGTTTACAAGCACCCTGTTTATTACCACAGCTGTGTAATTTGAAAAAAATTGAATTAAAAGATACAAGATATTGGACAATTATATTTGAGAAACATCATAACTGGCAACAATTAGAAAATATGTTGGAAAGACACGATTTCTTAAGTATTAAGCAAAGAGCTGGTTGTTTATCATATCTGGAAGATCCCCGTGTAAGATATTATTACTTTAATCTTATATTTATACATATTTCTCTTTTTCATTATTTAGTTTTCAATGATCGATAAATATAAATATTAATATAAGAAAAAGTTATAAATAATTATTTTCTCACACATTTTATTATAGGGATTTAGAAGCTTAGTGGCCCAAACTTTAACGACGGAAAATGCAGTTGCATGGGCTGCTCGGCCAGAGTACGTTACATCGTTTACAAATGATAAAACTGTACTGAACATAATAACATATTTTTTACAATGGTCTAAGAAAGAAATCAATCCTTCCGAGAACATCAAGTATTCATTACAAAATGGTATGAGATTTAATTGTACTTCTCAATTATATATTCCAAGCAATGTATTTTAAATAGTGACATTTTTATTGACATTATTTGTAAATTTACAGGTTCCCAATGGGAAATGCCGGAATTTGAACGATATTTTCTTCATGTATTTGCGATAATTGTGTATGAATGCATTACAAAGGATAAAGTAAATCTTATACCATTATGGTTACGTATAATTAAAAATCTGAAAGTTATTGAGGAAAAACCAAATAGCTTTTCAATATGGCAAATAAAACTTCTTTCATCACAACTGTCAAAAAGAATTAATTCTATAGATGATGCGAATCTGTTACTCAGTTTGGAAAGTATGCTTGCGATTAAACAGAAAACAGCTGTTATTCTTGATAAATGGGAGCATGGTAATTATTAACATATATTGCAATGTAATTCCTGATCTTATCATATTTGATTTATTTTTTTCTCTATTTTCCATAGACATGAAGCCTTTATTTAAACAATATCTAACTAATGGAATGGTACAAGCTGATACTGTATCTCTAGCTAGAATGTGCGCTTATTTTATATTCTATGGTATACCATATCCAATTGATGATAAAATAATCTGTAAGTTGTTTCATATAATAATAATTTTTTTTAATATTATATTTATATGTGTACTATATATTTGTATCTAATAATCACATTCTTTATTTCAATGATTTTTTAGCGAATTGGATTACGACAACGCAACGCTCCTCTGATATATCAAATATAACATTATACAAATTGTATAAAATTTTACAATCAATTTGTAAGTAAAATGTATACTGTGATACACATATGTATATTCAAAGCTTTCTATTAAAAAAAATTTTTTTCTTTTTTTAAATGGTGACTTTTTCATTTTTTACTTATTATTTTTAAAAATGCTATTACAAAAAATGCTGAATTATCAGATTAAAATAATATATTGTTGATCTTATTATAACAAAAATATTTAAATGAATAACTATTAAAACTTTATCACATTAAACATTTAACAAAAATTTATAAGTTACAAGAATAAAATTAAGAGAAAAAGATCTTTACTTGACATTTATTATATATACTTGATTTGACACTAGCATGTTTTGTAAAATTTCATTTAATGCACAACTAACATGAAACATTTACATCTTATTGACATTATATATACTAACATATTATCAATAAAAATAAATATCATTTATATCGAAATTATTAATTAATTAAAAAATGTATAATTATTTACAATTTCACATGTATTTATTAATAATTTGTTTCACTTATTAATTATTTGTACATAAATTTTTATTATATTAAATTATTTTTATATATATTAAATTTTAAAAATATATTAAACTATAAAATGTGTCAAGTAAATAGTGTATTTCGTTTTCTATAAAATTGTTCTTCATGTATAATGGGTCTACCAGTTATCATATGTATGAAATTATCAATTATTTCTCCAATAAATGTGTAAGAATATAAACATCCAATTAAAATACCACCCAAATGTCCCACAAGGGAAGAATTTGGAACTAGCATATGAATTAATATTAATTCAAGCCACACAGCTAATTTACTTGGTACTATAAATCCACTGACATTGTGTAATCTGTCACGTTCTTCGCACAACACAATTACTTTTAATGCAAATAATGTTGCAGAAAAGCCAATAGCGCAAGTTGTAAAATATCCATAATCTCCTGTTAACTGCATCAGCATATATCCCAAAGATACATACATAATGCTACATCCAGTAGATAGTATAACAAGTAAGAATACAAAGTTTGTTGTTCCATATATGGGTTCTAAGTACGATCCTTTTAGAATGAAGGAAAACATGTTGTAATACAGATGCATATCGGATCCATGTTCAAAATTTGAAAGGAAAAATGATCGCCAATCCTTGTATTTAATTATTTTTACAGCCGATATACATACTTCCTCTGCATTCCATGGCACTCGTATCAATCCAGTATATAACAAAGTCTAAAAAATAAATATTCAAATACCAAATTACTAAAATGAGGATGAAATATATATATATATATATATATATATTTATGTATGAAAAAAATTTGCCTATAAAAATATATATTTTGAAGAAAAGAATATTTTCCGTATATGAGTTGTATATTGGAAAGATGTCTCATTTAATTGATCTTGCGCACAAATAATTCTAATAATTTTGCAATTAAAAATCATGGAAACTTATAGTGACAATTACCTGTAAGATTACTCCAATTAAAGTAGCAGGTGGTATTCTGTCAAGTCCAAAATTTAGGGCCTGCATACATAACAAAAATATTCCATACTGCAGACCCCGCTGTCGTCTTTGGCTAGGCGTCATAATAATTCATAGAATACGATGCAATATTATGATGAATAATCTTACAGACGTCGAAAAATTAAATATGTATCAGATTTGATTTCTCCCAAGAGCATGTGAGAAAATAAACATTCAACCAAGAGCTATCTCTCAGATGTTCCACAAAGAAGGAATTTAGAATTAACAGATCGTTAACAAATATATTCAACACTTGTAACTTCACTATTGTGTAACTTGATGTAATCTGTCGTGTTCCTTTCACAACACAACACGTTGGCTGAAACGTCACGTGGATATTTCGTGTCAGGATCTGATGTTTTACATAATTTTAATAAGTCGTTTAATTCTTCGGAATCACAAAAAGAGATATCCTTTATTTTGTATTTTTCAATTCACTTTTGGTTCTTGGATCTCTCGTCTTGGAACACTCTCAAAAGATATACGATTCCAACTATTTTCCTTTTCCTTTTTTCTTCCAGAATATTCTCTTAAAAATATATATTTAAATTTCCTGGAAAATATCAATTTATTTCAAAACCAACAGTTGATATCCAGATATAATGCGTCCGGTTCGAAAATATTTAACGACAAGAAAATAAATGTTAGAAAAGTTAGAGAGCAATGTAAGATCATATGTAAGCGATGAGATAAGAGAGACAAATCTTTTCAAATTTTTGTCCAACAGAGGATATATATGAATGAATGTATGAATGATCACATTCACCAGTATTTACTCATATGAATAAATGGGTGAATGATACGCATATATATATGAATGAATGTATGAATCGAGAGAAGCCTGAGAGGGGCCGTGCCATTGTTTTTCATGTGACGGTATTAAGTTGTATAGTGGCGCCTCGTAGATTCATTTGAGTGCCGATGGAACTACATGGCTAGTCCACTTTTCGGCCATGGTAAAACGACCGATTGGTTTATGTCCGTACTAGATCCGTACTAGATAGAATTATAAATCAAAAGGAAATATATGGAAACATATTATAAATTTATTATATATTTATATATTAGTTTTTACATCATATTTTACAGAGCTTTTAAGTTTTAAAATAATACTATTTTGTACATGACGCGTGTACTTGGTGTCTTTTTTATTTTTTTTAAAAGATAAATTTTTATTAAGATAATTTATTTTATTAAGATTATTTAATATTACATAAGTGTCTTTTGTTTAAGTAGTTAATGTTACCGGTATTTCGTAGCATCAGGCACGAAACAGAACCAGAATTGTGCCATTATATGTTATCCTCTGAGAACATTCCTGGACATTGACTTCGTAGTTCGTGTCCACATTTTTAATGTCCATAGAGCGCTTTCAACAATGACCAAAAGCGGGCCATGACACTTTTCATTCTTCTCTCTGTTTATCCAAATAATCAACACCTTGCATGAATACAATCCAGTACGCCGATATATGTGTCAATGTGTCGTGGAGAAGATTGTCTGTAGTGGAGTTTGTTCTTTCACCACGAAAAATTTTTCATACATTTACACATTAAAGAAGATAAAGGTATTCAATTTATCATGTTATATTTTTGTGAGAGAAAGATAAGATATCTTATTTTTTAAAAAGATTATGCGAGAGATGTATTTATAATTCTATTGATAACATGGCACTTGTAGTCTTAAATGCAAGAGATATAAAAATCTACATTATTTTACAGCATTGCATTACTAGTGTAAAAAGAGGAAATATTCAAGAAAAAATATTTCAAGGTAAGAAATATTTTTACATACTTTGTTAACAATCATTGTTTTATTGCTGAACAAAGAGTAATAAATAAAGTATTCTACTTATCATGCAAAAACAGATGGTAAGAAGGAATGGACTTTGGAAGCTAACACAGCTTCGATCATTAATGAAGAATGTTCAAACTGGTATTAGAGAAAAGGGCATCCAGGCTTTGATCGTTAATGGAGAGGATGCGCATCAATCAGAATACTCGACTGAGCGAGATCAAAGACGATGTTTTATCAGCGGATTTCGCGGTTCCTATGGTACAGTGGTTGTTATGTATGACAAAGCATTACTGTGGACAGATGGAAGATATTATGCACAAGCAATGTCAGAATTAGATCCATTGGAGGAATGGACCTTGATGAAAGAAGGCTTATTAGACACACCTACAATTTCCACATGGTTGGCTTCAAATTTGCCTCCAAAATCTATAGTTGGAGCAGATGCTAATTTAATAAGTTATACAGAATGGGCGAGATTACACGCCAGTCTAACTATTGTCGGTCATTGTCTAATTCCTCTTTCTGAAAATTTGGTAGATAAAGTATGGGGCGATGAACAACCATCACCTACAGCCAATGTAATCTTACCACAGTCATTACGATATTCAGGTCAAAGTGCGGGAGATAAAATAAGATTATGTCGTGAAGCCATGAAAGAAAACAATGTGACAGTACTTGTAGTAACTGCATTGGATGGGATTGCATACTTATTAAATTGGAGAGGGTCCGATATACCTTTCAACCCTGTCTTTTTTGCGTATGTTATCCTCACTCTAAAAGATGTACATGTCTTTGTAGATAGAAGTAGACTTAGCCAAGAAGCATTAGAGCAATTAAAAAATGAAGGTGTCGATGCAATTTTTCATGCTTATGCAGATATACATGTCTATATGAAAGAACTCGTAAATTCATGTACAGATCAGGATAAAATTTGGATTAGCAACAAATCCAGTTATGCATTACACGCAGATTGCGGAGAAATCAAGAAACATACAGATATTACACCTATTAGCATTATGAAAGCGATAAAAAATCCGATTGAAATAACAGGTATGAAAGCGGCGCATGTGAGAGACTCTGTCGCTCTCGTTAAATATTTCGCTTGGTTGGAAGACAAGATCAAGAATACAAAAGAGCACATTACAGAAATTTCAGGTGCAACGCAACTGGAAAAATTTAGACAGTAAGCCAATTTGTAAAGTGATTTATCAAAATGCATTTTTTATAATGTAAAATGTATATAACAAAAGAAATCTGTTTCTTTTTCTTTTATAAGGGAACAAGATCATTTTGTTGGATTAAGTTTTACGACTATATCGTCTATCGGGCCTCACGGAGCGATTATTCATTATTCACCTACAGCGGAGACTGATATGCCTATTACAGATAAAGAACTTTATCTTTGCGACTCTGGCGCACAATATCACGATGGTACGACAGACGTAACGAGAACTCTACATTTTGGCGAACCTACGAGTTTCGAACGTGAATGTTTTACCAGAGTATTTAAAGGACAATGCCGTCTTTCAACAATGATATTTCCTTTAAAGACCAAAGGAAATTATCTTGACACATTGGCACGTGAAAGTTTATGGAGTGTTGGGTATAATAAGCACTTCTTTTTATGAAAATATAATAGAGAGAAGAAAGGATTTTATTAAGGAAATATTTATTTTTTTTGTATATCTGACTGAATTAATTTCATAGCCTTGATTATCTTCACGGTACTGGTCATGGAGTAGGATCCTATCTTAATGTTCACGAAGAGCCTATTGGTATTACATGGAAGCCACATCCAGATGATCCAGGCTTACAACCTGGAATGTTTTTATCAAATGGTATGATCAAAATATATAAGACATACATCATTAATTAAAAAATTAAAGGCAATATCATGCAAATAAAAATGTATATGTATGAATTTTGAAACACAGAACCAGGATATTATGAAGATGGAAAATTCGGTATTAGACTGGAAAACATTGAATTAGTTGTTCCTGCAAAGACACCTCACAATTATAAAAATCGAGGTTTCCTTACTTTTGAAACTGTGACGCTTGTCCCTATTCAAACCAGTTTGCTTGATGTCTCGATGCTTACAGATAAAGAGGTATATATATTTTTATTTATTTATTTAAATATGCTACATTTTCTTTTATATTTCATATATCTTATTTCAGATTGAATATTTAAACAACTATCATGCAAAATGTTTGAAGATTTTGAAACCCTTTCTACAAGGGGCAGAAAATATTCAAGCACTTAAATGGCTAGAGAGGCAAACTCTTCCAATTTCTCGCTAATCGTTTCATAATTTAACAACTTATAATATGTTTTAAACTACATATATATGTTTTAAACTATATATACAATTTTTTTAATATATATAGAAGATAAAAATTTGCTTTCAAATCAATTAATGTTTTATTAAGAAATCAAATATTTGCGATTAATATATATAAGAAAAATAAATATGTAATTGTACACACAAATGATAAAGTAATGCATTACGATCTATCGTGCGTGAACTTTCTGCAAGTGAATATATATATATATATATAACAAAGGAACAAGGAATAATGGCATATAATCATATCTTTATAATATAAGAATATATTATCTTAATTGGATTTTGTAATTAACAATTTACATATATGTTACATTGTATTATAAATGTTTAATTATACACATACATATACATACATATAATATTTCATATTATAATAATTTTTTTTATTCAGATTGATATATTACACATTTTTTAACACATTATTCATCATATATAATTTAGTAATATGTCTGCATAAAAAACGCATTTATAATTAAAATAAACACATTTTTTTAATTGTAATCTTACTAATTAATCTTATACTTGAAGTTTGGAATTTCCAAATTGAATGTATCATGTCATATTCATACATTAGAGCTTTGGATCACTTAAATTCTGATTAAACGATGATTAATTCAATTGATAAAATTGTGTACAAAAATTTTTTATTATTATATAATTCTTTATATAATATTTCTAATTCTATGTTTATATTTGTTAATTTTAAGCTAATGCAAATATTCTATTACTTATAGATTATTGTCATATAGATTGAGTTAATTAGAGTTTGATCAAAGTGATCTTAAGAAAGAATTAATAATAGTTTGTAATATTTTATATATAATAAGAATATTTTATAAATTCTAATATATACTAAAAATCTGTTTCGAATACTTGGAGATGTATCTCTATTTTTATTCCTATAAAACTAAATATATACTTATTGTTTTGCGATCCAATTCGTTCTTGAAAAAGATTAAAGTTTTGCTTAAAAGAAATTTAAATTTTCGAAATGTGATTATAATGTATCAAAAGTATATTAATATATACACATAATAAACCAAAAAGGAGTAAAAAGGTAAAATTTTCGCGATTTCTAATAATTTATCAATTTTAGTAATTATTAAGAGTCAAAAATGTACGTAACAAAAAATTTATAGATCCTTCATTGAAATAAAGAATTCGAATCTCCGTTGAGCAGGGTTTGAGTCTTGACTAAACGGGATTTAAATCCTTGCTAAGCAGGGTTCGAATCTCTGCTAAGCAGGTTTTATTTCGAGTTTCTGCTAAATCTTAAGCTGTCTTCTACTACGAATAGAATTATGATAAAAGTAGAAGTGGAATAAATTAATTTAATAAAAAATATTATATAGAATTAATTAATTTAATAAAAGATCGAATATCAAAATATTCGCTCAAAATATATTTGACTATTTTTAGCTATTATCGAGCGAATTTTCTGTTAATTCCTATAATTTATTTATTATTAGAAATTTTATATAAAATGACGAAATTAGAAACATTCTTATCTAGATATATATTTTATAATGTAATTAAAACGAAATACAAAGAAAAAAGGCTCCACACTTGCGTGACAACGAATGGAGAAAAAAATAATCCATCAATCAGGAGGGAAAAATGTTTCATCGAGTTGTACATCATATATACGATTTTCTATTTTATATTTATTATTATTAAATATAAATCGTGTGTGCTTTAAATAAAACTTGTAGAGTTTTTATAAATCTGGCCATAAAATTTATCGTGAGATATAATAAAACGTCACAAGGGATTTCTTTTTGGAAGAATAGGATAAAAGAGAGCATACTGAAAAATTCGCATGCCGATATATATAAAACTGCCGATATATATAAAATCTTTAATAATCTTCAAAAGCAAGCGCGATATCGCGTCTATCGTAATCCGCGATAAACGAATAAAAGAAAATATAGCAGCAAGCAGCTGTCATTGAAATCGTATTAAATAAGTTCATTACGTGTGTTAAGTAAGCGTCGCGCGTCATTCTATAAATATTGCATACGGCGTGTAAACTCGCGTCAATCGATTACCGAGAGACTCCTCGCAACGCGAGCTTGTCACATACATCGCCGTTCGCGACTCTATAATCGCTGTAACAATAACCGAGGCACGTAATTCCGAAAATAGCGCCGGCAAGAGCGCGTTAATGGCTATTTCAAGTCGCGTGTTACTACGATACATGTGTACATCGCGAGAGGCTGCCTTCCACCTTCCAGCGCGAAGATATCGAAAGGTGCGAGAGAGAGAGAGAGAGAGAGAGAGAGGAGGCGAGGGAGGGGGGGGGAGAAAGAGCGCGTTTCGACATTATTCGCGTATTAGTTCGCTTCTATGTATAGACTTTGGTCCTGCGTATCAGGAAACAGCCGGTGTGCGGGACAGGCAGGAATTGCAAGCGGGCTCGCCAGGACGCTCTCCCCAGTGTCGGTCCCGACGGTCAAGGGCAGTGGCGTCGCGTGACGTCACGCGACGCTGCAGTGACGCAACTAGTCGTCAAGGGCAACCCGCACGGTTATGGTCGCTTGGCAACCCCTTTTCGCCCTACTACTCGCTGCTGTATACTCCCGCCCGCCTCTCTGCCCCACCCCTGCCGCCCTTATCCCACTTCATATCGCAGCCGCACTCTCTATCGCGTACACGTGCCATTGCTCAATGAACTCTCTTCCCGCCCTCTCTCTCTCTCTCTCAATCTCTCTCTCTCTCGCGCGCGCGCGCTCCTCTTCTCTCCTTTCCTCCCCCTCCCCCTCCCCTGTGGCGCCATCGTCGCCACTCTTTCATTCTCCATGACGTGACCCTAACCCCTAGCCGGGACCTTTCGCGGATGCTGCGACGTAGAGGAGTAAACGACACGGCGCACCCCAACAAAGTTGCTCCCCTCGTCACCTCCTGGGATTTTTCCTCTTTAATATCAACGCTGCTAATTTTGAAAAATAACGATTCGAGTCGTTGAATAGTAATCAAATTCGAATTATAGATATATATATAGCGTGTAGTAAGCGTGTAATGATGTAACAATTTTTTCGACTCCAAATTGACAGGTGAAATCGTGTGTGACATTACGCTTTACCAGTCGACAAATAATCGATTCAATTATTGTTCAATCAGACATGAAATTATAGACAGTTACTGTGACAGCTGTTTATGAAAGAAATTATAGTACGAGGCGTAAAAATTCATATTCGAGAAAAATTTTTAATTATGTGTATGTGTGTGCGTTTTTCGTCGATACGAAAATATCTTATTAAACATTTTTCATATTTTTGCTCGTCCAGATGACACGAATAAATGGAAAGGAAAAAAAATATCGTTATTGCAATAAAATATAAAATATCGTTCACGTGTCTTAATAAGGAGAATTTTATATTAATTTGCAAGAGGAAACTTTATTAAACGGAACAAAATAATAGCGGAGACACAAAAAAGCGAGATTGTGCGTCCCAACTCGGGACAGATATCTATTAAGATAAACGAAGAAGGAGAAGAGAGAGAGAGAGGGAGAGGGAGAGAGAGAAGAGACACGCATCGTGTCGTAAGAGGGGCAGAGAACGAAAGGTAGGTAAAGTAGAAAAGGAAGAAAAGGAAGAGGAGTCCTCGCGCGCGGAGGGATTTCTCGCAGTGAGACGGAGAGAAGTAGAAGGTATCGCGAAGTGCAGAGAAGGCCTCATCTCGCTCTCGGTCCTATTTATAGACATGCTCTCAGCTTCACTCGTGCCCACTGCTCGCGCACTGTCTTTCTTATATAGGTGGCTGTATACCTATATATAGTGACTGTATTGCGCGTCTCTCCCTGTCTCTTTCTCTACGCACGAGCTACCGGCCAAAACCGTGCAAAATATTCGAGAGATCGATCGCGTGGATCCAAAAACCGCGAAACCGCTTACCTGTTTCTTACAACCGTCGCAGCGAATGTGCGTGAATATATTTTTCTGGCAGGATACTTTTACAACATCGATGCGTGTGTTTGTGAAGAAAATATGTATGCGCTTGTTCGTCTTATTGTCAAGCGTTTTAATACGCACCTCCTAAAACTTTCTGAGAACTTTCTGATCACTTTTTGAGCGAGGCGCGTGATGACAGATTTATAAAAATTGCGAAATTTTGTTGCTTTAATTAAATTGTTGCCAATTTTTACTAGAAATAAATTTTGACAGTAAATTATCTTCTTGCTCGATATCGAACCGAGAACAGATATATGAATATAAATATGTCCCGTTGAAAATTGAAATGATAAATTTCATCATCAAAATTTCATTAAATACATATAATTTTTTGAAAATTAAAAATTTTATTATTATATATATCACATTATATGTATATCGCCAATTAAAATTCTGTTTGAGTAAAATTGCAAGCAAATATTGAAATTTTATTATTTATTTGCTATTTAGCGCAATGCGCAATGTGTCAAAATCTCTTCTATTTAGTTGTATTTTATAAACTACATTAATATTTATATTAAAGAAATTTATATTTCATTTTTTCACCAAACGATATAATCAAAAAGAACTTAATTTCAAAAAAAGGGCTCAAAGAGAGAGAGAGAGAGGAAATACACAGTTTTATAAGTGATATCTTTATTAACTTTTTTATATAGTTGGATCCAAGTTTCAGGTTAAATAAATTAATTAAATGTTGCAAATTCTTTTAGATTCTCAAATTTTAAGAAATTAATTTGTCTTAATACTATTGGAATGCTTATTTATTATGTATATAGATCAATGCTTTGCAAGCTTATATATACATTTTGTTTGTTACACAAGAGATATCGACAAAAGAAAAGAATGTGAAACTCAATGGCATATTTTTCAATTAAAACTGATTTTTTTCTACAATTAGTAAAAATCGCATGTTGATAAATGTTTAAATAAATGTATAATTGAAAAATCAAAGATTTCTTATGTGCGAGAGTGTATTGAAAATAAATAAAATTTTATATTCAATATATATACAATTTCATTGGAACAATTTCATGTTAATGAAACATAAATTTAATGTTTAGTTACTAGTTTAATTTCCTTAAAAAAAATTGATTCCAAATTGATTAAAGAAAGCACCCTCCAATTTTTAAATCTTAAATCTCCTTTGTAACAGTTTGTATTGAGCTCTTGTGAAAAGGTTACGAAAAATAATCAAACAACTTACTCTCGAGTCAGTGTTAATTGTATTTCTGTTAATAATTGTTGCAAGAGATTGTTCGCGTTACCCGTTTCGCAAAGAGAAGCATATGCAGGAGCGATGATGACAACACGAATATACAGGTAGTTGGGAGCTTTTGTTACGTGCATTGCACTCGGAGCGTCATATGTATAATAATTATATATAATTTATCTAGCGATATCATAATATTATCTGTAAAAAAAAAAGTATTCGCTTGAGGACGCGCTTGCGTTACTTTGCGTTTACAATTTATGTCAAAGAGTAGTGCGTATCATCGCGTTCGCATACGCCTATACAATGTGTCCATATATATATATATATATATATATATGTGTGTATGTGTGTGTGTGTATGTGTGTGTGCGCGCGTGTGTGTGCGCATACGAATTTTTAGTATAATTTGTGTAATTTGTGGATACCACGTCGGTTTTCTGTCATTTTTGTAACGCATTGCACGATTGAATATAATAATATTTTAATAATAAAAATAATTATTTAACATTAACAATATATTCATTTGAAATATAGTCATTTTGTTAATAAATAGAGCAACATATACATAACATTAACAATTGCTAAATATGTGTACACGTATGAGATAGTAATGCGAAATGAAGAAAAGAAAGATGGCAAGAGAACGACGTTAGATTTTACATATACATACAGCAATTTTATATATATATATCTATATATATGTATAATAAATTATATACATATGTACATGAAATATTTCTTTCAACAACGATAGTCACGTCTAATCTTACAATTTTATTGGATTTTTTTACAATAATGTGGAAAGGGAAAGGCAAGAATGACCGAGAATTGGAAGTATTTGACGGAGACAGCCGAGATTTAGCGTGTTCGGAGCACGAAGAAAATACGATGACACAACGCAGGTATAAGATATGAGAAAGGAAAGCGAGCACTGCAAGATGAAAATTCGTCATCACATGTGCCAACTCCATAACAAGTTATATCGAGAAATTTACGGAAATATTGGCTTCCGATAGAGATACATACGCAACGATGTAGCACCGAAAATGTAACAATTAACATAAGTTTCCTAACGGCATTTATGAGAGGAGGAACTTGTTTTAGCACCTATGCATCTTCTATAACGCAATGCTGTAAAATTGTTTTCAAAAATAAATACTTTTATATCTCGATGATTATTCTCGTGTGTGTGATTCGGTTGTATGTGTGCGAGAATTATAGTTATATACAAATATACTTAAAAAAATATCTCTATTTCCGTTGCTGCGAACCTTGTCAACAATCTCCTCTGCGTTAGATAGATCTGTCTAATAAGAATACAGCTCCATGAAACATGAATCGTTCATTTGAAAACTTGCGCTTGGACCGCACGAGTCTTTTAAATTGCGTGTGTTTTATAGGGACGCAAGATATATATATATATATATATATACGTATATGTGTGTTTTAAATATCGAGAGTCCCGAGAGTTGGTATCAACCGTGTAGTCGATACATAATATTTATCGTTTCACGAAGCATTACATTCTCATACACAGTCGTTCGTATGCAATGAGAGAGACGCATCTCTCCTCTTCTCCCCCCTCCCCTTTCTCTCAATCTCTCCCTCTCTCCGTATCTTCCGCTTCGCTCCGCGATGATTCTCGGAAGCTGCGGATGGTATCGATTTTATGTTATACAATTGCACGAAAATGCTCTCGCAACGCTCAATGACATCTAGATACGCGACTGCTGGTGAATATCTCGCGACATTTCGCGCTTTAACTCGTGTCTGGATACAAGCTAAGAGATACCAAGTACATGTAAAGCGGAGAGAGAATAATGTGTTTATCGTTTTTTCATATTTGAAGAATGGGATTATACGCATTTTGATAATTAACTTCCATTGAGTTGCGGTTAAATATAAGTCTGTTTCCGATGATTGTATAAATGCCTCGAATATACTTTAAGTACTTGAATTTTTCGCTAGGTGAGACGCGAGAAACATGATTTTTTTTCGGTACAGCGAATAACTATTATATTCTCATACGTTTTTCTCAGTCAACGATAAATCTCAAAATACATAAAGTTCTTACAACACGAGTATCAACTATATCTGGCAACGCTTAATTCTTATTCTTTGATTCACGACAATTTTTAAAATGAGCAAATTGTTTACTTTACAATCACGTAGATACGATATCTGAAATTTCCAAATTCGTTTCGTGCATGCAATTAATTCGTATCCAGTCATGCATACGAGATAACGTAATTAATTGATGAACCGACGATAAATGACGGATCAGTCGATGACGGTTTCGGCCGTCTAAAGGTCTCCGCGTTTTCTTCATCGGTCATCACGAGAGACGAAAGGATCGGGGAAGGGGAGAAAGGGAGCAGCGATCCAAGAGAGAAGGAGACGGAAGGGGGAAAGGGAGGAGAAAGACGGGAGGATAGAGGGGGACATAGATCACAATTTGTCAGAACATGACACAAACGTAATGAGATCTCTGAACGTTAAAGAGGATTTTTCAACATCGTTGTAACTCGTGGAATTCATTGATTGCAGGGTGACGACGCGTGACTTTGAGGGTGGCTTCTCGGATTAGCGTGAGACGCCTCCCGCTTCAGCCTCTGCTTAAGATGTACCTTCGCGTGGCGCTTCTTCTCGTCGCTCCTGGCGAACTTTCGGCCGCACTGATCGCAGCAGAACGGTTTCTCCCCGGTATGCGTCCGCACATGGGTGGTTAAGTGATCGCTCCTAGAGAAGGAGCGCATGCAGATGCGACACTGGAACGGTTTCTGCCCCGTGTGAATGCGAATGTGCCGGGTGAGCTCGTCGCTGCGGGAGAATCTGCGATCGCAACCGTCCACCGGACAGGCGTACGGTCGCTCGTGCACCGGCGTTTTGCTCGGTCTATTCGGATACTTTCGCGGTTTCACCGGGACCAGTTGAAGCGGTAGCGTACTCTGCTGATATACTTGAGAGAGGATCTCGTGGCCTTTCGACGTGCTCGGGTTATACTCGGCTAGCTGGACTCCTGAGGAGCCGGTATTGGGCGGTCGAGCTTGTTGTTGCTGTTGCTGTTGCTGCTGCTGCTGCTGCTGCTGCTGCTGCTGCTGTTGTTGAGCTTGCGCCTGAGCTGGTTGAGGCTGTTGCACGCTGGGAGTGTAACCGGATGTACCGGTTGGCTCCTGCTTTAACGTTGCTTCCTGATGATGAGTGTGCGAGTGATGGTGGGAGAGAAGACTGGGATCGTAAGCCTCCTCGTGGGCCGTCAACCAGCCCGCAGGAGTGGTAGTTGGCGTGTCATGGTAACCGGGCGGCGGGGGTGGCGGCTTCGATTCGACCTGCAGCAATTCGACGGTCTCGCCGCTATACGCGGTCGAGTGAAGGTTGGGGTGAAGGAACGGTTGACCCGTCAAGGTTAAGGTTGGCGAGGGTAACGGCGCCCACAGCTCCTGGCTCGCTGGCTGTTGTTGTTGCTGCTGCTGCTGCTCGCCTTGAAGATTGTTCAGAGGCGAGGATTGCGTGCAAGTCGTGGTAAAGACTCCGCGATAGGTCAACGTTGGCACGTTGCAGATATTTACGCTCGTCGCGGGGACGGTGGATGTGGAATGCGGGGAGGAATACAAAATTACACCACCTTGCAACACATTGCAACGATCCGTCTCGTCCTGGGCTTGATGGTGGCGCGATGGTGGACTGTTCGAGGAAGGCGCGTTTGACGTAACGGTATTTCGCGTATCCTGGTGGTGATGATGATGGTGTCGATGATCTCTGCCGGATGCGCCGCTTTCGTCCTCCTCCGCGGTCGCCTCTTCCAGGGAAAGATCCTCGCCCAGACTGCCTGTAAAATATCAATCAAATTACTTTGTTTTACTCTCAACTTTAGATGTATGATGCGCGTTTTACATATGTATATATACGAAGCGTGTATTTGTTCTTGTGTATTGTTCTTCCAAGAGCCGGCAGGAAGAACCGTGCGATACGGGGGTGACTTTATCTAACAACGGTTCTATCTGTTGTCTGCATCCTGCCGCGTTTCGTTACTTCCTTTCTCCGCATATGTTATAATTGTGCTAACTAGCTCTGAAAAAGTATTCGCTAAAATTACAAAGCGTTACGTATGTTTCATCGAAAAAGTTTCGCCGATTTTTCCATAGCCCATATAATGGCGTTTGATGCAACGCTCCGAAAAATGAAATATATTACAGTTCCTTGAAAAATTGCGTTTGCATTTTTTAATAGATGCACACGTACTTTTATGACGGAAATGAAAGAAAAAAGTACGTAATACATGCGCGTAGAAAAGATCGCATACGACAATTATCCGAGGGTTATTACGGTCCTGAGGGTGACGAGGGTGGGGAGGGGAGGCTGAAAGCATGAATGAACCGACCAAGGGATAGTAGGGGGAAGAGGAAGAGGGGTGGTGATGCAGGTTCAAGAGGAGGGTCTCTGAATGTCGGGGTCGTTGAGTATTGATCCGCGACAGGCGGACAGACCTTCGATATTACGTATTTTCACGGACAGTGTAATAAACGTCAGTAACGCCTCGTGATTCTTCGTCGCAGATGCATCTCCTTTAAGAGCGCATTCGAGGGCGAATTTAGACGAATACGTCCAAATTCCCGCGAATCATGGAGGCGTTCGAGATCAGGGTATCAAGAAGCGCGAAGAGTTTGCGTAAACGTATCGAAAGCGAAAGGTTGACGAAAGCGAAATATAATATCCCGAAAATTTAACGGCATCGCATTTTCATCGCTCCCTTGTCAACACGAAGAAATTATATAACATAATTATATAATTAATTAACATAATTAATGCAAGAGGGAAAAAATAATTTTCATCTCCACATAAATATATCTCGAGAAAAATAAGACACGAAAGTAAAACCGTCGTCGATCGATTCTCTTAACGATAGCTGACGTGATGTAGATACCTGAGATCGGTGGCGGTTCGACAAGGGCGGAAGGGCCGAAGAAGGAGGGTAGGTCGCTGCTAGTGGTGACCGGGGTGTTTAAATCACCAGGCTTATCCTTATCGTTCGAATCGTGAATATCGCTCCTGCAGTTTCTGATACACCCCTTATCATCGTCATCGGTCTGCCGATGCCTCTTGCCATCCGTCGCGTCGACAGCGATCGGCGATGCATCGGCATGCAAGTGATGCTGATGATCGTCCAATCGATGATGATGCTGATGATGATGGTGCCGCTCGTGATTGTGCTCCGCGGAGTCGGTCGGGCTGATTTGAAGCTGCGCGTGCAACGGGACGCACGAGGACAGGGAAAGCGTCGGTATAGTCTTGCTGCAGCTGGTGGACGAGTTCGTGTACGTCACGGGGGTCCCGCTGATGCCGCAGGTGACCGAGGAGGGATTGGACGAGGAGGCCGCGTTGTACGGTAAACACGCGTCGAAGCTGAGCTGCACCGTCTGCAGATTAAAGGTCGCGTGGTGATGATGATGATGATGATGACCAAGGGGCGGCGAGGAGAGCAGAAACGGGCTGGTGGCTGCGTGCGGCTGCGAGCCCACCACCTCCATGCCGTCCATCGTCATCCTCTGGAGCGGATCGCCTTCCTGGGCGATGGCAGAATCCTCGGTACCGCACTGCGTGTCCTCGCCTGCGGTTGTATCGTTTAACGTAATTATTATGGTTAGAATATTGTCGTTTCTCGATCACCCTCCGATCGTACACGATTAACCTTCCTCCTCTTAATAGCGCGGGGGTTATAACGCGTTAACGATATCGGGGTGTCTCTTTCTCCCTTTTCTCCGGTCTCTTCTCGGCTAGGAGGATTAGTAGCGGCGATTAAGCGTGCGTGGCGCGTTTCTTGCTCGATCGCGTGGCGCGAGCCTTCGGTTAACTGGATAGAGCTGTTTGCGCGCCGGCTGCGACAACAAAGTATCCTTCTTCCCGCCTTTTTATTTCGATAGATGCCACCGGCCGGCAACACTACGTGCGCGTGTTGCGGAATGGACCACCACCAACCGACCACTAATAATCACCATCACCATCACCATTACCACCACCGAGCGTAAGAAGCTACGCGGGTACGACCGTCTCTCGCATACGCATAGATTTCGCCAACCGGTCGGTTCGGTCCAAGTACCTGGCACCGCCGTTTCCTCGTCAACGAGAAGAAGCTTACGAACGAGGTGCAATTTTATTCCCAAATTAATTCTCCTCTTCTCACCTTTCGACAGGGGGTACAGATGTAAATACGCGCGAAGCGAAGGCAAAATATTCGTGCGGCGAGAGGACGTGTCCGGCCGCCGTCGCCGTCGTCGTCGTCGTCGCCGTCGGGTCCACGCGTACTCCGAATCTGTGCGCGCAAGTGAGCGAGAGCAAATACAGTGTTTGATCCGAGAACGTGTGCGTAGGCGCGCGAGCGAAAGCGCGCGCGCGCGGGATCGCGCGCGTTACGTTGCGTCGGCGACTCTCTCTCTCTCTCGCTCTCTCTATCTATCCATTTATCCGTCCTTGTTTCTCCTTTCGTTTCTCTCTCTCTCTTTCTCTCTCGTTCTTTGCAAAGTCTCCTTCGTTAGGTACACGGCTCGACCGAGAGTGTATTGGCTCGTGCACAGTGATTGTTAAAGGACGCGCAATGCGTGGGGGTCGCGCACGAACTGAGCCGAGCGGCGGCGCGCCCCGTAGTTTTATGAATGGACCGCCGAGACTGTCCCATATTTGGAAGCGCCGAGTCGACCGCCAGCCAATCCCCGCCCGGCGGTCCTCCGTCTACGCACGCGTGTGTGCGCCATACGTCTTCATACATATGCGCGTGTATTTATACATGCCAACGTATATTATATATATATAGGGTGTATCTGCGCGCACGTATTTAAATATATACGCGTATATATTTAATTACACGCATACGTCTCGTATATACAATACACATGTGCATCGTACATAATGACACGCATATATATATACGTGTATATAATACACATACATGTATGAAGCTGAACGATCCACGGCTCCCCGCTTCTCGCGCCGTCGTAGTCGGCTGTCGGTGCTTACGAACACCGTCTATCCCCACCAGGTATCGCTCTTTCGCGCTGCCACCTTCCCCTATCTCCCTCCGCGTACTAGCGTCCCACCATGGGAGCTTCCTCCTTCTCCCCTTCGCTCTTTCCAATCTCTCCTTCGTCGTTGAGGCTCCTCTCAACCCCGTTCACCGGTGACGTAGGCTCCGTGACGTAGACTCGAGGCGCGCGACTGTTGTCCCCCACGAGGTACTTTCGAGAACGCGCGAACACGCGACGGAAGATGGAGGAAAAGCAATAATCGAGAGCGGAATCGGTCCGATATATCGGAGCTACTGTCATCGACGAACATTTAATTTTGTCTAAATTTCTTTTTCATCATAAAAATACCGAGGGAAATTGCTATCGTCCGGTGCTTTTATCTTCGAATGCACATATTTGCGATGTTAAAAGAAGCAAATTGTCGATAAGATTGTTAATGGTGATCTTGATTATTTCTGTTATAATGTTGGCCAATGCATTATTAACTGTCGCTCTACCTGATCGATATAAATATAATATACGTCAATTAAACTAAATTACCTTTTAATACTTTATACGCGAATCATATATATTCGAATCCTAGAGAAACGTACTCACTCATGATGGAGTGCAAATGACCGTCATTGCCGCGTTATATCGCTAAAAGGCGCGCAATAAAATATCGCAGATTGCTTACATGTTGCACGGGATGATGTGGAAAAATCGATCGCGGAGCAAAGGACTTGTTCTCGTCTTCCTGCTGCGATATCTACGCATCAAGAGCAAAAGTTTCGCGCTTGGCCGCATAAATAGTTACGCACTAGTCGCTTACGAGATAAGCGCGACATATCCACGTCACGCACACGTATACACAAATATATATACACACACACATAATATATATATATATATATATATATATATATATATATATGTGTGTGTGTGTGTGTGTGTATAAATAAATATATATATGTATAAATAAGGAGAAAGTAATTTTATATCGTGGACATGGGTGTACGTGGCTCCTAACATTTGTAGGAGAGCGCGTGTCCGCCATACGCGAGGCAGACCGCACTCTCTCAGGAGGGTAAGAGACGCGTGCCATTTGTGCGGACGCGTGCGTGCGCCCGGTTAGCAGTCACGTATATACGCGCACGCGCGTACGATCTTTTTCTCGCGGGCGTCTCGCAACCACCTGATGCCCTATTTGGCACCACGCGCTGCCACGCGCCCGTTCCCCCCTCTCCCTCTTCTCGCTCCGTCTCGCTCTCTTGGTATTTCGTCCCCCCTCTACCCTCTGCCTATCTCTTTATCTCTCTCTCTCTCTCTGCTTTTATATTATGTATTAGCTTTTATATTACCTTTTGAAATTTTGTGCGTGTTGAATAATTACTAAACAAACTAAAATGGAGCGATAGCAATAAAAAATGTAACGTGTCCTCCAATACATCCCGCAATCTTTTAAATATAATTTAAGACGTATAATATTTGATTTTATTTTTTTCACGTATACAGGAGACACAAATCGCATGAATGTAAGATAAAAAATGAGGATTTAAAAGAATCAACTGCATGTTTTTTTGAGAAAAATTTGTGAGAAACACGAATTTGTAGATCGATTCAATACATTATCTGGTATGATTGATCGAGTATGTTGCACGGTATGCATTAATCATCCGTTTTATTCGATCGACTTTACTGATGCACGCACACGAGAGCAAAGAGACAGTGACGCACGCCGACGACGTTGATCTGGCACAACAAAATGTTCTAAAATTATCAGTGGCTCTCGAGGTGGTGGGCGCGCACTATTCGTGGCCCTAATCGACGTGATTTTGCGCGGGCGAACGGCGTTATTTCAAGCCGCCACGCAACCACCTGAGCGACCCAGCATCCCCAAATACCCGGGATGACTAGTGCGGCGAGCGTCAAATATTTTCCTATGTTGCCGATGAGTCAGTTAACCGATGATACAAGATTTTTGGCAGCGTTATCGTCATTGCCTTGCGTCTTATATTCCTTGCCCTCATCGTTTCTTTGCTTTCTCTTCGGCGCACATGCACGGGATATCGTATCTCTATCGTGTTATTTTTATAAACTAATAAATTTTAGACAAATCTCTTCGCCTGATTTGAAAGAAAAATCTTTCGAAATTTCATACTGAAGATACCATAAGAATGACAAATCGGTGCGATTTAAAATTATGAAAATCTAACTCATGTTGGATTGATAGCGAGGTGTAAATTAAAATATCTTCAAATAATGATATACGTAAAATTTATGAAAAGCGATATATGTTTGAGATACTGGCACGAAATTACGTATGATCCTGAATTCTTATACCATACAATGTGCTTTCAAAGTTGAATAACATATTGGCATGCGAGAAGAATTGAAAAGTTAAGATACAAAAAACAAAAGAATTGTTTGGTAAAATTTATATATTCATCAAGGAAAGACACGCATTTATTTACAAAATTAATCAATTTTCTTTGAATATATATAATAATACGCGTATTAATAGTATCCTTGGATATTCAACTTTTTATCTGCTTTATTTAGTAGTTACTTTATTACGTTTTACTTTGCAGACTTTTTTATATTTGTTCAGTATCTTTTAAAATACATGGATGATGCGGCTTGATATATTATTTCTCTAGTAATTCTTGTGTATTTTAAAGCGTACTGTTTGAAAACTTTGCGGTGTTTGCATAGTTCAATTTTGGAAATTACAAATATGGGCCGCTTAGATAATAGATTCTAGAATAATATACGGTGCAAAAAATATGTCGCGGAAAAGTGTAATTTTAATCTAAATACTGTATATTTCTCATGATTTTTTTACACTATATGCAGAATAATTGCTGTAGGCGATGCGTTTTAAATTGCTCCTGTATCGAGCCGATCACTTTGCTATTACGTACTTTGATGCTACGCGAGTGGTGAGTCATGTGACGAGTTGCGAGGCTTTCGCACGTTTTTGCGCGATACCAAGATACGTTACCAAGATCGTTGATTAATGATCGTTTCCGGTAGATACGAGCATTTACTTCGACCTTTCAGAGGCTTGTTATTGCTATGATGAGAGTGTTATTTCCGATTATGACAGTACCTGTCATAGAATTCTATGTCAAATCAATACCATGCGATTTAAAATTTAATTATGAAACTTATTAAACGAGACAGAATTCGAAACATATCTGTAAAGTACTTCATAACTCTTCAAAGTGTAAAGTTAATATTTTATCAATGCATTTAATCAATCAAAAAAGTTTCTTTTTACAACGGATTATAAATATATGATATATAAATACGGTGTAATATAGCTCTTGTAACGGTAAATTATAGAAAAAAAACAGCTCTCTTTGTACAATTAAATTAATATGCAGCGGTATTTCTAAAATCATTCCTACAGGCTATGTTATCCATCATAGTCTATAAAACGGGACTTGAGCTTCTTTCCTGTGTACACTTTAGAATAAAATTACCGAGAGCAGTTTGCGAAACAAAACGACATTTGTATCAAAGACAGAGACATAAAAATAAATTTGCTCGACAGTTTCTTAAAATCTTTTCTTCTTGATGGTATAATAAGATACTGGTCAACAAG